AAGAGGAGCGCGCTAACCGGGCCCCCCCCCCCCCCCCCCGCCGTTTGGTGCGAAGAACTGAGGGTCCGAGATCAAGATGACCTATGACCGAAAACTCAGGGCTAAACCGAAAGCCCTTGGGCCCAATGGGCTTTGGCACTTAGCGAGCTGAATGGTTACCTGAAGCGGTTATTTATCTTCTACCTCAGCTTGGAAAGTTCCCCCCAGCAAAGGGCCAATGTAATTCTCCTACGTAAGGGGGGGTCGACCAGCGAAGAGCCCTTCTGCTTACCGCAGGTCGATATGCTGAATGATGTGGATAAGATGCTCGAACTCATTATTGCTTGACGTCTAGCATCTATGCCGGAAGGGATCCGACATACGAGGCAATACAGATTCCGCGAAGAACGCTCCACCGTCGATGCCATTCGGAAGTTGCGGGCGCTTGCAGAGCTCGTGGTGACGAAGAGGGAGGAGTGGCGGTGTCATCATCAACGCCTTCAACACCCTCCCTTGGGATCAGATGGCACTCGCCTATCAGAACTTGTCCCTCTACTTGATTGCTATTATCGAGAATTACTTCCAACACAGATAGCTAGAGTTATAAGGACGGACTTCAGTGTAGAAGTGAAATGTCATGTGATGTCTTGCAGAGGGCCTCCTGCTGTGGGGTATCGCCTATGACGCTATTCTATGCACTGTCCTCTTGTCAGAGTATCATGTCGTCTGCTATGCAAACAACATCTTCATACTCACCGGGTGGCATGACTGAGGGGTTACAACTGCCATACTGCCATACTGCTAACATAGCTGTGAAATACGTAGTCGCTTCCATTAGAGGACTGGGATTGGAGGTGACGCCTCAAAAGACTGAGTTGAGAAACATGTTTCTGCATAACATGGTTCAGGGTGCATCCCCTCCGGCACAGATCGGGGTGGGACTATCTCCATCCAAGGACGCTCATGTATCTGAGCTTCACATTGGATGGCCGGTGGAGCTTACTTTGAACTGCCGATTTACTCGCGGACTTGCTGCCGTACTTACGGGCTCGCCGAGACATATCGGTGAATCCGTGCGTTTTGTGCGCGGGAGAACGCGGACCTCTCTTCCCCGTGCGTCGTAAATGCCATGAGAGAAAGAGCAAGTCTCCGGGTTTGACGCCGGCGAGAACGCGGACCCAGAGCTTGCCAATGACTGGGTGGTACAGGTCATCCTTCCCTGTCTGCTCAAATGATAGGGAATATGGAGGATTATCATTCCGGATGACATAGGCAAGGCTGCTTCGGTGAATACCTATGCCGGATCCAAAAGGAGCCGACTGCGCAGTGTCACCACTGCACTGCCGTCCGAGACACCGCGCAACACACTCTTGAACAGTATCCGGCGTGAGACGCCGAGCGTGGTGCTCTGGTCGCAATGATGGGAGAGGACCTCTCCCTCTCGGCACTGGTAAAAGCCATGCTGGAGGAGGAGAGGTCGTGAAGTGCCGTCTTCTTCTTCTGCGAGAGCGTCATGCTCTGGAAGCAGGAAGCGGAAAGAGAAAGGAAGTGAGTTAGGCTCGAGCATGAAGGGAGAGAAAGACGTCCTCGCGGCGAAGCTCGGCATCGTCATCGGGCTTCCGCGACTGTCGCAATGCATCTTCCCTCGGTACGTGTCCGAGCGGCAATGCCGCCGATACTATCATCGTGCCGATGACAACGGCCGCTGGTCGCAGAGGACTCCCTCCCCCTCAATAATCAGCATCTCGAAGATGGTGACAGGGGAGAGGAAGGATGGATGACTTCCTTGTCATCCGGGAATCCATTCCTTCTCCACTTGAAGCGGAGAGTCTGGAGATGTGATCAAAATGTCACATCGCTCGTTGGGTAATCGGACGGGAAATCGATCCAGCTCTGCCCCTCCCCTCTTTACAACATCGAAAGGAGGCGAGACGAAAGAGCGAGTATCCTTCCTTGCCTAAACAGACTAGCCTCTCGGGACTCCGGCGGCTTTTTTGTCAAAAAGAGGATCGCCGGGGATTGACCAGCATTATCGATGGGCATCCTGGAAGAATATTGCACGCGTGCCCAAAGTGCCCCTGATAAAGATCAATGAAGAACACTGGCGGGGGTTTTAGTGGGTGCGAGTCCTTCATAATGCCTTAGGCATACTCTTGGCATCGTTCCCGTTGGCCAAGAGCATAAGGCATTTCCCCCGTCTTATAAAAAAAAAATTAACTTTTTAATTTAGTTTTTTAATTTAGTTAAAAAAAATTAATTTCGTTAACTCAAACTCATGAAATAAAACAAATTTAATTTTTAATTTTTCTAATTACTTTTTTTATTAACTTAACTTTTAATTCAATTAATGTCATTATGGATTAACTTTTATCTTAACTAAATTAAATTAATTAAATTTTCAAAACTGTCATCTTTAACTTAACTTAGTTAACAAAAAGTTAACTTACCCAACCTCGATTATTTTGCAAAATACACATTTTAGTATAGTTTATTAATTTATTATATTTAAAATCTTTAAATTTCTAAGTTATGTTTTATTTTAATATTTGTAATTATTATTTTGTACATGTATTTTATAATGTCAGTATCTTTTATGTGTATATCTCTGTATTTGTTGTTTTTTAAATAAGAAAAATAAACTTAAAAGAATCAATTTGGTAAATATTTGTTTTAGATAACATCTCACTAATTTCAAAGTTCTTTAGATATGTTGTAAGGGAAGTGTCTTGACTGATTCCCCATAAGAATTAAGTGGGGAACGAGATTGGTTTAGGAGATATAGTAAATAAAAGTTCTATAAAGGATGATATTGGCATAAGCGATTCCCATCCCATTTCTCCCTGCTTAGGGACGCACGACTTCCACGCATGGTGGAAGGGATAACATGTTGCAGTTGGACAGTGTCTCTAATCTCTGCCTTCTCCGTCTATGGACTGTTCATAGTGCAGAAGGCTACCAACGTGAAACAATGGTATTCATAGTCCTTTTTATTTTAAAACTTAAATTTAATGTCTTAAAATGCTAATATAGTCCTCGGATTGACTTATGACATCTTAAGACTGTACTTAAAACAGTAAATGTAAGAATCGACTATGAATATCGGCCTGTTTCGCATCGTGAACACAAGAAAAGATTCAGTACTCACAAGGAAAGATTCAGTACCAATTTCACGACGCGAAACAGACATTCATAGTCTACTAAGTAGAGGGGGAAGTGAGATGAGAGTCGCTTTGCGTGGAAAGTCGTATGCCATGACTTCATTATAAAATTTTAATTTGTTATATCTTCTAAACCAATATTGTCCCCCACTTCATTCTTGTGGGGAATCACTCAGGACACTTTCTCCTACAACATATTTAAAGGACATTGAAATCGATAAAATATCAATATGCTAAAACGGATATTTACTATCAATTTATTATAAACAATTAAATCTTTTATAAAATTATCTTATTGATAAAAGTTATCTAATGAGTAAATGTAACTCCAAACTTAATGATAATATCGTATACATTAAACAAAATACTATTTCATATTCAATTTCTTATTGAATGTAACAGAATTATTGCAAGTCTTTAACCATTGAATGCTTTGCTTGTTGTCAAGAGTATCGATGTAATTTGATAAATCATCCTGATGAACTCCATTGGCGGTGCAATATAAGATTGCAGTGTTCTCTAGGAGTTCTCGCAATGATCCCATTTTTGAAGTCTCTGTTTCATCTCTAGAATATTCAGATTTCTTTTCTTTCGATTTTATATCGATAATTTCATGTTTGTCCTTGTGAGAATCACTAGGCTTCTTTTTTATATAGTTTAGTGTGTTTAAACTCACTTGTTCATTTTTCGAAGAAATTACTTTATGATTTTCTAATAATGTTGAAGAACTTTTCCAAGCATTTTGATTGCTACTGACAATCTGATTGTCTTTGATATTCTCTAGCATCAGATGAAGCTTTTTCCATTTTCCTTGTGAGAAACCAAAACTCGTATTTGAATAGGGACTGTTGGATATAAACTGATTTTTTTCAATTGTTGTATTCTTTTGCGAGAAGCTTTTAGGCAAATTTTTGATGTTCAGTTTTGTTAAACTCGTTTTCATATCTCTTGAACTATAAATTTGATTCTGTATCATAGACTTCCTCAACATGCTTTTGTTGTAATTTGATAAGATTTTAGCTATTTCCGAAGTTTCATTGGTGCACCATACAAGATTCTCATTAGAATTTGATATTTTACTATCTGATTCTCTATTAATTTTAGTTTTTTCAGGATTTTCTCCGTCATGTATCTCTTTCATGACTTGAACAGGTTTTTTATCCAATGGGGTTTCAAGAAAGGTTTTCTTTGTCATATATTCTTGTGTATTTGTAGCATATCTCTTCAAAGTATGCAAATTATTCATTGACGATTCTTTGCACTTTGAAACTGATTCTTTCGCAAACAACTTTCTGTAGATTGACATCCCCATCAGCGTCTCATTGTTAGAAGCATCTTCCAACTTTGCGGAGTTAAATATATTTTTTGTGCAAACTTCATCGCTCATAGATTTCGCAGCCGAATTTCTCAACAAAATTAGAGAACTGTTTGGAGCGCCTCGAATAATCTGTTTCAAATTCATCCTGATCATCTCTCTATTTTGTGACGTAGTTTTCGAGCTGTTGAGTTCCACAGTCGATTTCTGTGTTTTTGGTATATATAATGCTGAAGATGATGGAAAAGTCGAGGCGACTCTTTGATCATTTTTGCTATTAGTGGTACTTTCATTTTGAATGCTTTGCGCCATAGCGATAGCATAAGCTTCTAGTAACTTTGTTTCTTCTGCAAGATTAGCAACATTCTCAGGAGAAATTGTTAGATTACTTTTGACATTTGTTGTCTTTTTTGTCAATTCTAAAGAACTTGTCTTGGTTGCAGAAATTGTCAACTGTGTCACTTTTTTTTCTACTGCTTGTTTATAAACTGGTGTCATAACTTGCGCACAATAACCAAACACGCAATGAAGGCTTTCATGCATACATGTTTCAAAGGATTTCTTATCCATGGAGAGATAGGTATTCCATGCATTTTTAGTATTCGATGAACGTTTATTTTTCATTCTTAGTTTTCCCTTTAGCTTCTTTTCTTTTTCCGTCGAAGAGACTTGTTTGTTGTAATGTGGATCGACAGAGATCACTTCAATATCAGGTTTATTAATAATCTCGCAATAAGATAATCCATCGAGGCTGGTGAAGTATTTTCCTAAATATTCTACTGCTAAACCAGCCTGGGAACATAAACGTATAAAGGGTATTCTAAATAAAATTATTTACGTTCTTTCCTGAAGTAATTGAATCTTTTTTCCTTTTTAAGTAAAAAATAATTTGAAAATTTTATCATTTTTTCTAAATTTGCAGGTCCAAAAAAATTTAAAAATTACAAATTGCAGTTATTAAAATTATAGTATTTACAGTTATCTATTTATTTTTTTATTTAATTAAGGCGCAAAAATTTTTTAATCGAATATATTAATTAATATTGTATCTTTTTATTAAATTATTTATTTAACTGTAATTCAAAAATATATTATTAGGTGTTGGAATTAATTCGTAGCGTTTTACAAGTGATGGGAAGTACTTTCATTAATGTATTTTTTAATGCTCATGTGAAATAAATAACATTCTTTCATTAAAAACGCTACGAATTAATTCCAACACCTAATAAAACAAAAAGCTTTAAGGTAAGGAAAAATTAAATTATATGGTATAATATTAAGTTATATGCATAACTATAGGATATGACAATGATAAGATAAAATATCAAAAATTATAATTAACACAAACTGTCTAAAAGTTTATGATTTTAATAATTTTGGAGATTAGAATTAATATTTAACAAGTTCATAAAAAATATATCATTTATTTTTATACAGATTGCGTCACCAAAATCCGGATAAATTTCAATTTATTTTCTGCTATATTGGACTTTCGTCAGAGATGTTGTTGTTAGCATCCGAGAAAGCTTGATGCTTCTAAACAGTCATATTCTCAAAATAGCCGCGATGTTGAAACCAAGTGCGGAGTATAATCGAAGAGCCGCGATCATCGAAGGCTTTTACGCTGAGCGCTCAGCAACGAAATAATTCGGTTCTATAGATATTCGAGATCAACCGTTGACGTTATGGTAAAATATATGGCTTTAGAACAGTCCAATGAAAATTCCAATATGCCAGCGAGGAAGAGGACGCATCGTGAAGACTCCCGCAGTTGAAAAGGCTCAAGCGCTGATTTCGGATAATCCAGGGCAATCGTTGCGAAAATTAGTATCGATTGTTGGTGTAAGCGAGCCAACAATGCGTCCAGTTGCCGAGAAAGATTTTCGATACAAATCGCATACATTAAAGATACGATAGATGCTTTCTGAGCCTGCCAGGACAAGCCGAGTTACTCGCCTCGGCTCCCACTCTGTTCTCCCAATAGCTCAGTTTTAAATCCCTTGGACTATTACATATGGAGCGTAATTAAAAAGGTCATCAAACAAGTTTCGGCGTTCCAATGTGACATCATTAAGGATCACCGCTATTGAGGCAGCATTCGTCGGCACAGCGTTACATTACAGCGTGCGTGTGAACGAGCTTTAGACTGAGAATAGAGGCCATCATTCAAGCTAATGGTGGATATATCGAATAATTGTGCTTTACAAGGATCCCCCAAGTGCCATGTAAAAGGATTTTTTTGTAACATTTAATTTTTCATTAAAAACATTTTGTTTAAAGAAATTGTTCGACTTGTCCGGATTTTGGTGACGCAGCCAGTATATATATAAATTAATGAATATAACAAATATAATACTAGAAATTAAGTGTCTATAACGGTCGAAGCTGGAAGCTTTAATGCTTAATCCTTTGAGGACGAGGGATTGCTGAAAAAGTAAATTATGGGAAAACTAGTATTTAAGAATAATTTTGGACCGAATCCGAATCTGACTTTAGCATTTCAAAATTCTGTAATCTAAGATGACGGATCCAATATGGCTGACATTGACGGAGTCAAAAAATTCAAATGTTGCTTGAAACCTATTCATATTATAAGGGTTTTTGATGATGCTCTCTTTGCAGCTCATCAATACCACACAAACTTTTGTTACTGACAGTTTGGAATAAAGAATGTTCATTTACGTGATCAGCTCCAAAAAGAGCGGAACTGGAAATTCTCGAGGCTTGCTTCTTGCTTCACCAATGCATCAAACTTCTTCTACAGTCTTCTAAATTCGAAAAGAGCACCATCAAAGTCCTTGTAATATAGATTTCATAGGTTTTCAACAATATATTAGGTGTATGACTTTGCTTATACCGTTTTCGTATAGATAGCTTTAGCGGTAAGTGATGATCGAAATAAATAGATCATAGACGTCACATAATAAACTTGGGCATCTGTCAACATAATATATACCATAGAAACATTAGTCGATTTGTGTCTGCATCATAAAGTTATTCTCGATTGAAAATGTCAGTTTACGAGCCAAATTCTTGTCATTTGCGGGAGGTTTTAATTTTCTGCTTCAATATGAAGAAATCTGCGGCTGAGGCTCATTGAATGCTTTCAAATATTTAATATTGGTGAAGCCGCTATTGGTGAAAGAACGTGTCGTAAGTGGTTTCAACACTTCAAGAACGGTGATTTTCACGTCGAAGACCAGCATAGCGGTAGAAGAGAGAAGGTTTTCGAAGATGCAGAATTGAAGGCATTACTTGATCAAGACTCTTGTCAAAATCAAAAAGTATTGGCACGATCAGGAGTGACTCAATCAGCCATTTCAAAACGTCTCAAAGCCATGGGAATGATTCAGAAACAAGGAAATTGGGTGCCGTACGAGTTGAAGCCG